ATGGTATCAGAGCCTAATCGATCCATGGTGTAGGCCCTTTATGAAAAAATGACGACACAATTATAAAAAAAAACTGACAATGACGAACCGACGAAAAAATGAATGACAGCACGATCCAGACGATGTGTCTGGTCGTGACGAGGGGTGTTAAATTCTCACATCGAGAACTTGTGAAGGAATAAAGTGTTATGTTAAGACATAGGATACTTCTCCTATCAGGTTGACCTTTTAGAACGGAACTTCAGATCTTAACAAATTTCCATAATGTAAGAGGGACCTTGATATTATCAGTTAATTGTAAATATATATAGATAATTAGTCACCATATTATCGATATAGATTTATTTAAAAAATCTAGAAATTAGGTACATGACCAGAAAGGTCATGAAAAAGTAAATTAATTTGTTTTACCACGTACCAGTAGAAGAAATGATTACTAGTAGGGTGAACATAATGGCAAACGACGTAAAATAGGGTTTATAAATTTTAGGATTCAACTTTTGTACTTTATTATACGTAGTATGTATATAAATGTTACTTGAAGTACCGCACATGTGTTATACTTATAAAGTTACATAGGGTGCAATTTGCGGGTAAGCTAGGTATTAAATACGTATTGGTACTAATCCCTTTTTTAAGCCTGAAAGCCCTCTAGCATGATACCAATCCATCCTCTCCATTTAACAAACATACATCATACATAGAGTTATCCTTCAGCTCAAATATGTTTCTATGTGGAGAAAAGTTCCCTATACTCGGATTCGAAACTCAATGGAGTGAGTTTCAGCCCTGATTACTTCAGCCCCCAAACCCCCTCCCCCTCCCCCAGACCCCAGTTGCCCTCTGGAGTAAAAAACAAAAAAAAATGGGAGGAGATGTGTGCTCGATATTGAATTTCATTAATCAATACTAGCTCCCTCCGTCTCGATAATACTTCCTGGTTTGACTTGGATCTAAGTTTCAGAAAGTGAGAATAAAGTGAAAATGCATAATTGTGGTTGAATAATTAAGGGATAAATGAATAGTATTCACACAAACGTTTCAAAAAAGGGAAATTGGAAAATTGTTTTAGACGTTCCAAAAATGTAAGTGGAAAGAATTTTTTGGGACATAGTTTAAGCATTAATAAAACATCATTGAGCAGAGGTTTTTGTTACATATTCTTTTGGATCAATGGGTCATGCCTGAGCTGTTTCATGCTTAAAAACAGGAGTGATGTAACACGCAACTTTAAAAGAACAACGAGAAATACATATAAATATATATCGAGTTTAGTGTCCAGATTTTGTTTCAAACATATTGTACGTAGTATATATTTGCAGAAACAAATCAATTCCAAAATCGTAAATCTTATCGTTGAGAGTAATGGCACGAGCCTTTAAGATCTTTGCTCTTATGTTACTCTTTATGGCGTTAATCCTTTCTTCAAGTGGTAAATTTAATTTACTTGTATACTACATGCAATTGATATGCTAAGTTATTAGAATAATTTCATATTTCATCCCTCCAACACGTGAATTTAAAGTACCTGCATATAGCTCCAAACTATCTTAATAAATTGAGCTGGATATATGTTAGTAATATTTTTCTGTCAATAACTACTCAATTTGTTTCACGATGCATGAGCATGAGACTATTTTACTAATAATGATGCTTCAAATAAATATAAATTATTCCATAAATTTTGGTTATGTTTTTGCCAAACACGTCCTTAAACATCTAATATTTACACTATGGGCACCAAATTTTCCACTTTAAGATTGATCTGATCCATTTATTTTCTCATTTTAACGGCTAAGATTACTTCTCACAAATTAATTGGGATTGTTAATTAAATTACAGAACGGGGGACGCAAAGACAATTTATATGAACGAATCAGCAAATACTCATCAAAGAAATACTCAACCTATTATGATGGCATTTTCTGAACAAATCTGTGGTATAGTCGTCTAATGCAACATGAAACAGTTTTGGTGCAACATCGTCAAATATTAGTGCAACATGAAACTGTTTTCGTGCAACATTGCAAAATTAAAATCTTATTGCAACGTGAAGCTTATTTTTAGTGCAATATCTTAGATTTAACGGTTGACATTCATTATCATTTCTCACATTAGATGTGTTTCTCACTTGAACCAAAATATAGATTAGTGTGTGTGTGTGTGTGTGTGTGTGTGTGTGTGTGTGTGTGTGTGTGTGTGTGTGTGTGTGTGTGTATATATATATAGGGGTGAGTCCTAATACAAAGAGGTCTTCACATGAAAAGTGAGAAGTGATCGAAGCCTTTGATTGCTTAAAAATGGATGGAATAGATCAAAACTCACGGTAAACCAAAATGTGTAATACATTACAGTAAAAGTGCATATGACATATGTAAGAGTGCACATTCACCTCTTAAAAGAATAACACAAACGATTTCTATACTTGTTATTTTATCCCCGAAAAGTGATGCACTTTTGTGTTACTCCAATGCACTTTTTCTCCAGAGTCAAGCACATTTATCATTTACACTATTGGCACCAAATTTTCTAATATTTACACTATGGGCACCAAATTTTCCACTTTAAGATTGATCTGATCCATTTATTTTCTCATTTTAACGGCTAAGATTACTTCTCATTTTTCATATAAGAAGTACTTTGTATTTGAACTCCTCTCTCTCTCTCTCTCTCTCTCTCTCTCTCTCTATATATATATATATATATATATATATATATATATATATATATATATATATATATATTAGGGAGCAGTTCCGGTAAGAACGGACTGTGATGAGAGAAATGAGAATGAATCTGGATCGTTGGATTGTATTGTGTGGAATTGAATTGTGCATTTGGTGAAACTGAAATGTGCATCAGATGATATTGAAATGTGCAGAATAAAAATTTAAACTCAAGTGTGCATTAGATGAAACTGAAATGTGCAGAATAAAAGGTACAAAAAAACATTACATAGTATCCTTTATTATGCACATTTCAGTTTCAGCTAGTGCACATTTCAATTTCATTTAATGCACAATTCAGAATCACATAATGCCACTGTATCGTAGCCTTTGTGTTTCACATTTCAATTTCACCTAATGCACATTACAGTTTCATCTAATGCACATGAAATTTCACTTAAAAACAATCTAACGGTCCAGATTCATTCTCGTTTCTCTCCTAAGATCATGTTCTTATTTGAACCAAAACCTATATATATATATATATATATATATATATATATATATATATATATATGTGTGTGTGTGTGTGTGTGTGTGTGTGTGTGTGTGTGTATGTATATGTATATGGGATGTTCAAATACAAAGAGGTCTTCTCATGCAAACTGAGAATGAATCTTGTACATACATTTCCACTATTCTAATGGCTCAAAATGAATAAAAAATGGATTAAAATTGATCAAAAACGCAGTGGCTATTTCGTAAATAAACCGAAGTTTTTTGCCATCAGGAAAAAATGCAATGGAAGCATGCAAAAGTGCAATTGTTAGCACTTTGCATGGGAGCACCTTTTTTTATTTGAACTCTTATATATATATATATATATATATATATATATATATATATATATATATATATATATATATATATATATATATATATATATATATATATATATATATATATATATACATACATACATACACAAGAAATCATGCTGAAAATTGGTTCAGTAAATGGATTATAAAACTAGAATAAATGGATTTATGTTCCTAATTATCCTTGATAAGTTAATTAACTGATGTTTTTTATTCTGATAATTAGGAGCAGAGATGGGCACAGCAGACATGGAACAACGCAGGACATGCATTGGCAAGTCCAAATGCCTTAGTGATCAGAAATGCGCGGCGGATTGCAAGACTCAAGGCTTTTCAAGCGGTGATTGTGGCCAACTCTGGGAACTACAGTGCTGCTGTTACTAAGACCACCAAACTATTTTTAAAATGAAATAAATATCTACTGTCAATGGACTAATACATAATTATATTTATATGTAGTATAATATAATAATCTAATAATAATAATAATAAACGAAAGCAAAAAAGATTTACCATGCATATAGAAATAATACTCCCGTAGTCCCGTTGTGTGGGCTTCATTTCATAATCGACTACATAAGTTTTTAGATTAACTTTAAACCAGTAAACTCACCCGTGCGATGCACAATTTGAGAATATTATATTTCTTTCAAATTTATGTGTGCTTAGTGATTCAAATCACACCATCAGTTGATGACATCATCTATCTTCATGTAATATTGATATACATCAAAGTATTAAACGAAACACACTTATAATATTATGGTCAAAATGAGAGTACTCAGCGTTACTTAAAAGATCAAAAACATCCAACAAATACGTTGAAACCATAACAATGTAAATATGCATTTAATGTAAACTTAAACATTGTTGAACACTTCTTTGAATAAAACATTCTGAACCTTGTCGGTGGTTCCTTTGTCTTCATCAACAATTAGAATTTTCAAACCACAACGATTGGTAACCCTTGATAGTGCAACATACAACTTTCTGTGGGTAAATACCAGTTTTTTCAACAACAATCCAACAGGGGACAAAGATTGACCTTGACTTTTATTTATAGTCATAGCATATGAAGTCATAACAGGATATTGTCGCCTATGAAATTTGAAAGGCAAGCTAACATCGGATGGCGTCAAGGACAATTTAGAAATTAATACTTTTTTTCCAGCACTCACACCAGTTAAAATTTTCCCCTCCAAAACATGATCACCGAGCCTCGTTAGAATAAGACGTGTCTCGTTACCCCATTGAATGATCGATATTTCGCAAAAGCATCAACGGGGTCCCTTCCTTTAACGTTAACTCATTATTCAGTACACCAGACAATTTTATACTATTCAAGAACTCAGGAGTGTGCGGTTCCGCCATTAGATCGGTCGTATAATCTACCTTAGAAACACTGTCAGAACTAAGATATGCTCTTGAAACTTCACCAACATTAAGAGCCGTCATATAGTCATTAACAGTTTCAACCACAGCCAGTGTCAGTGTCAAAATTGCACGGTCGCGCAAACAACCCATATCGCCTGCAGATTCAACATATTACGGAAATATGCTTTCAATATTGCAGCTATATGATCTCCATCTGTTTGTATCAATAGATCTTCAGTAATGGAAATACGAACATGACCATCGTTACTTTCACCCGCAACATTGTCACCAATGTTGGCAGTCCAATTTGAAAAGACATTCAAATCATAAGAATATGATGGATTAGTAGTGTCTTGCAGACGCATATTTTTTGTCAAACAAAGGACTATGCATTCCGACCACAAATATGATGAATTAATCGTCGCATTAACTACATAATGTCTACTCCCATGAGGTATCACCGACAACACCTGCCGAAAATCAAAGGTTTATATAAATTAATTGAAGGTAAATTATTTTTAATTACTAAGTAATAAGGTGACTATAAATTTACACGAATTACATTTTTTAGACGAATTGTCTCTTTAAATATGTAATATAAGGGAGTAAAATATGTGAAAGTGTGTTATGTCATTTTTGAATTATACTTGAATCTAAATTTGTGGGAAAATGTTCAAATATGTGCTTCTACTATTTCTAATATCTAAGTATAGTCTGTCTGGTTTGTTTAAGTTTGGTTTGGTTTGAGACTGAAATAAGTCTAAGTATAAACATCTCAAGTAATATGGTGACTATGCATTTATACGAATTGCATTTTTACATGAATTGCCCGGGTAAATTGGCAAATCAGGGGGTGTGCAAATATGTGAAAGTGTGTTATGGCATTATTAAACAATACTCAAATATGATAATTCTTCAATCGGGCCTTAACAGGCTCTATTCGATCCTAGACCGAACCCGTGCGATGCACGGTTCGGCCCGATTGTACAGGGCCAAACGGTCCTTAACCGGCTCTATTCGATCCTAGTAGAGCACCCGTGCGATGCACATTTTGAAACTTTTCACGGTGCAATTAATTTCATACAAATATAAAGTTAAAAAATTGTATTTTTACTTGAATCATTTACAATTATACTCCGTACAATAATAAAGTGTTTCCTGAATTAATGATGTTATTTTCAATTTGGGTTTGAGTGCAACCCTTGTTGTTTGGACTCAGGCCCGCTCAGTCCAAAACACGATATCCCACAATTTTAACCTAATCCCATAATCTTGACTCTTCAAAAGATATCCACTGCATAGGCACACACCTTCATAGGTGCACCACTCCCTGTCAGAATTGTCCTCTTGATAGAGAATACACCAGACAAATTCCTCAAGCACCCCCGCCCCCCTCCATGTCCCTTCTTACCGCACACACCACTCCGCAACCCCTCCAACAATTTTTGATTACTTCAAATTGTAAGCAGCTGTCTCAAATGATCTTTCTCCATTCACGCAGGAATTGCTTGATCACAAAATGCGCTGACTTGACCGACCTAATATCTTTAGATTATATTTTCGTTTTTTATTTATTTTGACTAATAAACAAATGAGGCATTGTAGTTGACATTTTTTAGAGCAAACACTGATCCTCAAAAATCTTTATCTTTTATATTAAAATGGATTTTAAAAAAAATAGCTCTTGAAGATTATTTTCCAAGAGCTAAATCATTGAGTAGATCCGAAAACTGAACCAAGGTATACATACACTTTTTTATTAAAAAAGGGCACTTTTATTAAAACGGGCCCGAAGGTTACTAAAAGGAAAAGGTGGAAAGGAAAACGGATCAGTGGCCCAAATACTAGCTCAAATTTTTTATATAAAAGAGTATAATAAAGTGATAAAAATTGTGAAACATTGAATACAAAGAGATAATTCCATATGTGGAAGGAAGCCTGCGCGGAGAAAGCGTTTCAAAATAAATTTTCAAAGTTTACTGAAATATATATATATACTCATGTTGAGAACATTGTGGGAAAAATAAATATCATTTATGGGCATTGATCATGATTATCGCCAACACTCTTTGGATAAAATTAAATAACCGAAACTAACAAAAATCACCATTTAATTGCATAACTTTTTACAAACATAATGAGAAAGTTTTGTTTTTCCTCCTGGGGATTAATTATTTAAAGAAACATATTTGACAAAGGTTAAAACCCTTCTAAAGTTTCGGTTCCTGAATAGTCCGATCCAAATCCAAATTATATGTTCTCATATATATAGTCATATAGATGATAAATAATAACTATTCATATTTTTAAATACATTTTATTGTCTAAAATGTACTCCCGTCATAGTTTAGACATAATGTTATTTAAAATACCGGTACATGCAAACGTTATTTATTTTAAAAATATTATTACTCGGTATTAGGTAACACAATTACTTTCTTTAGAAAAAAAATGTTTTGAAAAAGTTAAATCTTGTCATATACTTCGATCAGTTCTATATGAGGTTATCCCGCTATTCTGAATTCCTATTAGAGCCTAACCCGTTTTATTTCGATCTGGGCCTACTCACCCTTACATAATTTCAAACCCAGCCCACATAATCTTCACTCCCCAAAAATATTCACCGTACACCTTCACCCCAAAATATCAACCGCACACCTTCACTTCACCGCACAGACAAATGCTCAAGCACATCTCGCCGCCCCTTCCACATCAAGATGGAGTTGTGAAGACCCTGCTGTGCGAGGAAGTGAGCGGCGAAGTTAGTTTCCCGATGACGATGTTTGAGTGCGAGATTGAGAGTGAGCTTCATCTGTTTGATTTTCATCATCGGTGCTGAGAAGATCCCAGGTACAGTTTCGGACTCTAGTATCATGTTTATTGATTTTTACGAATATGAATATGTGTGAAAGGATGAGTAACCTGTGTGTATTATATGTGTTATCGAGGCTTCAATGGCTAGGATTTCAGGGTGTAGCGAGTTCCGAGCTTGAACATGATACAATCACTTACATAATACTCTAAAGTAAATTTAATGGATCCACTACATGCATTTAACTAAAAAAATCAACTTCATTTAGAAATAAAATAAAATTAAGAATTTCAATTTGAAATGCCATTTCGACTTGGAGGAATTTTTTAAATCTATTTAAGAACTTGTATTTTGAATAGTATTTATTGTTATATATCCTAACATATGGAATGTTTTTCAATTTTTTGTGAAAAAGGCACACAGAAATGACAACCCAATTTGAAGGTTTTGTTGCATTTGTGGAAGTTTAACTTTTATAATAAATAGACTTATTGTCTTTTTAAGCTATGTCCATTTTGTAATTTTTAACATGTATTACTGAATGGATACATCTTGATCCTAGTGTGTAAAGTTTGTGATGTAATGAAGATTAGCAACAGAAATTTCCATAAATTTCAGGTATATCTCTGAAACTTACACACTAATTTCCAAATTGTAGCTATGTTAATGTTGCCATATAATCAAACGACTGATAAAAAAATATAAACCATAAATACTACTTTTAAACAAACGACTTCACTTTTGTTAAACAAACAAATTCACTTTTGTAAGCTTTCATGGTGGGCTTGAAAAACATACAACTTTTTGCAACCATAAATTTTTTAATCGCAAAAAGAACCTTCATTTCCCTGAATTGCCTGAATTTTTTGTTATGAGCTGATCATGAATTTGAGCACGGACCTTTGAGCCCTGAAAAATTCAAAACAATAAGTTTGAGAACACTTAGAGCAAAAAAATCAAATTTAAATAATAGGCTAAAACATTTGAAACCTACTCAATCAGTTTGTTGGCGTTGAGATCACGCCGTAGAGACCACATTTAACCATTTTGATGGAGCATTGCGAGTGTTTGTTGTGTGAGCTTGGTGTTGTGAGTGAGTGTGAGGAATGCAACCGTGATGCTTGCTTTTATAGGTAAAATATGTATGGGCATCCATTGAACATGGTCTTGTCAAATTAGTAATCATGCCTCATTGAAGTAAATTACACGCATAGATGTGTAGATATTAAATTATTTATTACTCCGTATATTTATTACTGTCACAATCTTCTTCACTGTACCCACCCATCATCCTTCAATTATAATTACTGTATCCAAAAGTGGCCCGGAAGTCTTTCAAAATCTTCTTCAAACAGTTGCTATTAACAATATGAGCATGGGCCTTTAAAAACTGCTACCGCGTATATTATTGCCAAACCAACACCTCTAAATTTGTCCGGCATTTAGAACTTTTGAATATCTTTTTATTTTTCATTTGTTTTTCGCAATTTAGCAAGCCATCTAATTGATGTTGACAAACTTGTGCAGGAATTTCTATCACAACTTCTCAAAGCTTTTAAACAATCTTTCTCCTAAAAATGTTGCTTGTCAAGGATATGCAATCTTCGTTAATGTGCCCCTGCAACAAACAGTGCCCCTGAAATTCTCCACACACTGTGAGCATGGAACTTTTTAAAAGGAAACAGTACTACCCACGTCCCACTTGGTGTGTTTTATATTTTCTTTTGCAAATGAATAAGTGACTCATTTGATGTTGATGTTTTTGAGAAGGAACCCTATCCATAAAAAATCTTTTGCTTTTATATATTAATAGATATTAAGAGCGTCCAAATTAAAGAGTAAAATTATATACTTGTTGTAGGGAGAATGGTTCGTGGAATTTCATTACCAAAAGCTCATATAAATAGGGATAGTTGGATAGAGTAGAGTTTACAAGTACGGGCCAATAGGCCCATAATACATAATTTACATAGAAAGCCCCTAATACATATTCTATCTAAATGATAGCACACATCATAGAGTTCTTTCTCTAATCTCCCCATAATGGCATGAAAATTCATTGTCTCATCAAAGTGATATTCCGCAAAGCGGTGCACACATTATCTGTTAAGGCTAATAGCGGGTTATTGTTGGAGATTCGTATCCAACACAAAATCATTTGTTTTTTAAGACCAATTATAGTGCACTGTGGGAGGCGCATTGGGCACAATTAGTTAACAGCCATTATAATAAATATGTAGAACATCTCATGCTAAGATCCAATCACCAATTGGTATACATAAAAGTGGTTGTCTACTATCGGTCTAAAAAGAAACAAATGTGTAAGGGTGCTAGCAATATTGCATAATCTCATGAAAAAAATTATTAATTATTGCGCGCGTAATAGATATAACATTCACCATCTACATTCTTTTAAATGTGAACTTTACTGAGATCTTATTTTTCACATGGGATGCGAGATGTTTTTCATTGATCTCGAAAAATATGCAATAATCATCAAGTACTTTTGATGAAAACTGTCTAGCAGTAACAAGTCATATAGACTTGATTGGTCAGACGGTGGACCCTTAATAAATAAGTTTTACTACAAGTTTTGCAATTGCAACAATTGCAACATTTTTATGTAACAAGAAAATAGATAACATGAATAAATTTCTACCAAATCATAATTGCTTAAATGACCTGCATTTTGGTAGCAAAAATATCCTTCTATTTTTAAATAAGTTCTCACGTGTCACATTGTATTGAAAAAATGAGAGATCTTTATTTTTTAGCCATAGCATAGACATGTCTTGATTCCATTATTACTAAGGAGTAAACTTTAATAAATAACTGACACATCTTCTACAATATTTATAAGTCATAATAGAAATTGAATATTTCTTCTTGTACTTTAGAAGATGTATATTGATTTTCTATTTAGTAATGCTAGGACCAACAATTTACTTTGTGTTGGATCCCTTTTTATCCTTTATTCGAATGATTAATGATGAGCCAGTTTTTAAAATTTTTGCAAGTCAATGCCCATTTTGACTCATAAATTTATTAAATATGCATTTTCTTTTGCATTTATTAGATTAGATGTAATATGATATCTTATATAACATTTTTATAGAGTTTCTATGAGAAAGTCATTGAAGATAAGTCAGTGGACATTGATGTTCCCGCAATGTGCGAGTTCAAGAAAGCCCCACAAGCCACAAGGGTGTATAAGGGATAACTTATCTTGTTATTTTGACAAGAGTCCATTCACAAGAACTGAACCCATGACATGGTTCAATTATGTGAAACTCATTGTGATGAACAAATTTAGAACACAATAAACTTTAGCGGCTTCTAGATGCATTTAGAAGTTAGGGAGATATAAGTCTATTCATTTCAATATGAGATATTTAGGAAGTTCATCACCTTTAATCAATCACAAATGACAATACGGAATTACTTCAACAAATAAATATAAATTCCTTAAATTAGTGTGTATCATCACAATGGGTTAAAACACACTTATTTGTTCTAAATTGTATTAATTTACAAATGTCATTCATATACTTCAAAGTGTCATGATATCAGGTCGAATGAGGTACATATCATTCTACTATTTTATGGATAAAATTCATAGACATACATTTAATGAATCTATATGCATACATATCTCAAATTATATTTGAGATAAAACAATGAGATGTCAAATCAATTTAAACTCTCAAATGAATACACAAAAATTATACCAAACTTTAAGGCTCAAACTAAAAGTCTAATTAGAAGTAGTAATGTCCATATTTCTAAAACTCATGAAAGAGTTAATTAATTAAAAGATGAATAAATCCAGCAATAGGAGAAGGTTCTTATTCTCAACATTATGAACAATCATAAAACTGGATTTATGTTTAGTCTCTCATGTAGTGAATTTCGTATTCTTCGAAGATTCTATGAGGATTAATACTAAAAAATTATTTTCAATTATATCCTAATAAGATTATCAAATCTGACTCTCTGCTTCAATGATTTACTTCAAATTTATATTTTCATATACCATTTGGAAATTTATTTGTCCAAATAGCTCTTGGGAGATTTCTTTTGTCCCAAAAAAAATTCCACAAAAAGGACATGGAAAAATATAGCACTTAAAATAAAAATTTATGAGAGACATGGTTCATTTTATACTAGTTCATCTATATAAAATAAAGAATGATGAGTGAGGATGGGAGAGCCAATTTGTGATTTACTTTTCACAACAGAAAAACGTGGGTTGGTAGGTATAAAATATACATGATAAAGTATCTCATACTTTTGAGAGTAAAGAAGTGTATACTTTATTATATCGCACCCTCTTCTTTGGATGGGTGATACTCACGGTGCTCTCTTTTGAGCCTCGATATTAAATTGGTTCTTTGGTAATTTCAATGAAAGACATTTCCATGAGATCATGACGGTTGGAGTACGTAAATGTGGCACCAAAGAGATAAGAAAACTTCACTTATATCTTTTTAGCCGGTGCATTGTCTTTTGAATTTACATGAACGAGCATGACAGTGCTTTCATCCATGGGAGTAGTCTCTACATAATCAACTAATAGATGGTATTCAGTTTCTTGTGAGCCCAGAATGTCAAACTCATAATAAGTATATTGTGATTGCATATATTATATACTTGTATGGGGTATCAAAACTAAATTTGTAACTTGAAAAATCATAACTCTTTGGTAAAAACTCTGTCACACTAGTAATTGTTTGTTTCTGTCTTATTATTAAAAGACATATATTAAATTAATAAATAAAGTGTGTCACGGTACGTCGGTAGACATATATATACAATATTAGTATTAATAAAAATTGAATCGATACGAAAGGGCAGAAAAAAATATGAGTTCTCAACTCAAAACAAATTACTTAGATGGATGTATGATCAACTAGAAACCTAGAATAGAACGAAACATAAAACAGACTAGCTAGGCATACATACACTAAAAAATTGAATTGGAAATCCATTAGCACATCAGTGAACTTACACACTTAACGGTGTACATAAAAAAATAGTGTGAATGCATCAATCCAATTTTTTCTTTTAATATCTTTTGAAAATAGTTCACTCTCAATATCATCATACAGCAGCCTCACGAACATGGTAATATAAAATCCAATGTATAAGCTTTTGAGGAGGGAATCGATTGATTAGCAATTAAGTATTAGCTTTTACCTGAATCGATACGAGGTTGACGGATAACAGTGAAGCAAGGTGCGAGTCAACAAGGAGCAAGGGCAGAGAGAGTACTGTGCGCGGCATTGCGGCAAGCCATCTGGGTCAACAGCGGTCTCTCTGGCATCTTACGCTGGAGAACCTCATTTGGCTCTGTACAATGTCCGGAAAGATGGCTGTGGTGGCCGGGCAAGATTCGATCTGGACCATGTGGAACGGAACGGAGGCAACGAGCTGATGGCATCTCAGTAGGGATTACCGGAGAGAACGGTGGAGGGGGGCTTGGCAGCGAAGTGAGGCTTGGCGTCGTAGGTGCTGATTTCCAACATATTGTAGTGGAACTGAAAAAGAACGTGAAAGAGAGGAGAGAAGATTTTAGGGTTGCGAGGTCTTTCGTGTTGATAACGTGTTGTAGGGAGATTGGAGAATGGTTCCTGGAATTTCATTACCAAAAGTCCCTATAAATAGGGATAGAGTAGGGTTTAAAAGTACGGGTCAATAGGCCCATAATACATATTCCCTCCGTTTCTGAAACAAGTTCCACATTTGACTTCAAACATATTAAGAAAACAAATTTGACTGTTTTGTGGAGTGCACTCTTTGGCACTATTTGAACACTGTTTGGCACTGTTTGAACACTGTTTAACACTGTTTGGCATTGTTTTGATGTAGATAATTTGCCAAATAAGGAAATGTTTGAAAGTGAAACTTAATTTTGAATCTGCCCGAAAAGAAAAGGTGGAACTTCTTTTCGAATCAGAGAAAGTAATTTACATAGAAAGCCCCTAATACGTATTTAAAAGTTTTATACGTTAGGTCTGAGACTTGTAATTTTGCCAAAACAAAAAACTTGTTCTTGTAGTAGAGATTAGTGAATGTAATTAAGAGTGG